ATTATTATTATTATTATTTTCATTAAATCAAGTTAAAATCAAATAAAATAAATTAAAATTATATAAATAATAATTATATTTATATAAAAATAACAATCAAATAAAAATAAAAATAATTAAATGTTGGGTGTTACAACCCTCTAACTGATCATAATTTGGATCTTGGTCCACTTGATATGAAATAGTTAATGAAATGGTGAGCTATATTAACACAGTAAAAATATTACATTAATAACAGATACAGAAAACTGAAGATTAGTAAAAAAAATAAAAAAAACAACTAATGGAGCCCCTATTTTATTTAAATACATTTAAAACTTGAAAACATTTGTTTAATACTTACCATAACAAGTTTTTCAAGACAACCTATGAAGACTCATATTTATATTACTTTTCACTTTCACGTATAAGAGAACGAGAAACAATAACTTTCTTTTCTTACATGCTTACTGGTACCCTTGGGGATCCATAGGGGTGTACTCCCTAGTCGTGAATCCAATATCTAATTTTACAATTGACTGGTCATCCCCATACCTTGTCCGATAATGGACGCTAAAGTACTCTCGCCTCAATATCCCGTCCGGTATGAGGTGAAGCACATCCCCCAAACTTTTCCGTTAAAGGACTTCCCAGCCCCATCCGACTGAGATAACGTTCACCGTAGGGTTTCTTATGTATCGAACCCGTCTGCCATTTCCTTGGGTAACCAGCAAGTCTTTCACATACAAATTTTCATCAACAAACAACTAATAAACTCGTACCAATATCTCATATCACATTCACATATCAATTAAACTAAATTTATGCTGACGGTATATAACCAAAATAACCAGATAAGTTGATAAGACTATCGAACTCTAAATTAAAAATATGTACTATACAAAAATCAATTAAGTCGGATAGTACAGTAAAATAAGTAAGAAATCAAGATAATTATGAACTAATCAGTTTCGGGTTCACTAATAATCTGTAATTATTTTTAGGATTTTTTAATTTTTTATAAAAATATGAAATTATACACTGTTAAGTCTCAATTATCGTAACAGATAATAGGGCGAAGGATCCTTATCTGGATTGGTGTTTTGAGTCATCAAGCTATTTACTACGCCTCCTAACGGGTACCAAGTTCTCTGAATTTTTCTTATAGAATTCAAAACACTTGTTACATACCCCAAAAAATCCAAAAAAATCCAAAAGTAGTGTCTAAAACTCATTCCGACCAATTTTGGGGTTCCGGCACGGCGGCTTTGCCGTGCTCTAGCGCCAGCTCCACTGCTCACGGCAGCAGTTCACCTCGACTCTGCCAGTTTTGATCGGTTTTGGCCGTATTTCTGCAGAAAAATACGTTAGGGGCCTCAATTGACTGGAAAATCACAAAAAAAATAGAACTTACTAGTGAGGGGGACCTCCAGGTGCAGTGGTTCCACCGGTCCTCCTACCTGACTGAAATTCTTTCTTCAGCTACCCTATACAGAAAATAATGGTGAACACAATGATCGAAAAATTACGTGAAATAAGAATCGGGAAGGGGTTCATCGGAGGAATTTTGGAGTTTTAGTAATGGTGGCTTCGCTGGGCTTTGCCCACGGTTTTCGGCTCACTCACTGTCTTTTTTGCTCTAATTTGTTCACATGGTACTCGGAGTCGAATTTCGAGCAGGTTGAGGGGATTTTTTCTTTTTTTGGCAATCGACAGTGGCTCCGGTGCGACGACGATTGGCGGTCGGCCTCCTTCTCCAGCGTCTGGTTCTTCTTCTCCGACAGGAGCTAGCGACTAAGGTTCAGATTCTTGTGTGATGCGAAGTATTTATAACCACCTCGCATTTATTTGGGTCGTCCATCGCAATCAATCTTGACCGTCCGATCATGTCTAAGGAGAAAATAAATATGAACCGTTAATCGTGATGAATCTCGATCGTCTGATCGCGCCTAAAGAAAAGACGAATTTAGATCGTTCACGCGTGCAGGATCGATCCTGGGCCATCCGATCGCGGAGCAAACGATTCGCTAGCGTGGCCTCCTGCGTGTACGGACATCAGCGCGTCTTACCACACGACGCGCTCCAATTTGTCGAGACTACTAACTGGGCGGTCCTACACGGTTGAACTTTCTCTATTTGCATTTTGAGCCCCTATTTCTAATTTTTCTTTTCAAAACGTCCATAGAATCCTAATTTTTATCTATTTTTAAAAAAAATTATTTTCAATC